CTTTCCCGTCTCACAGCTAGAACTGTTGGTCTTTACGGACACAGTTACCACTAACATGCATAGATATCTTGCTGAATCAGGGCCCAAGGTATTTGGGATTCAGTGTGTATGCAGGCCATAGGCCTTGACAAACACATTCTCCTTGATTGAGTCTTGTATTGGAATTTTCTCAGAATCACATTAGTGGTTTTGTTGAGTGGATGATATGAAATACAATATAATCATTTACTTAGTAACAATAGATATAAATATCATTACCAAGGTTTAGCAGAAAATTGCCAGTGGCACAACACTTCAGCTATTCAGCAAGAGTTTTTCACTGCCTTGCACAGCATGGGGTGATAGAGGCATTGGAGACCGCAACTGGTAGGTCTTATTGAATCACCTTTCCCAGCCCACTACCAAAGCTGAATTGTTCCCTGCTGTATGCTTAAGCACTCTAAGTATCTAGTGCTTGGTGAAATGGGTGAAAATAATATTTGGACAAAGAGCTATATTGTCAGCACTCCCAGAAGCCCACTCCTTGCACTATTCTGATAGGTCACCTTTGCATAAAAAATGATCCATGGCAAAGGAAGACAAGGGGCTAGGACATCAGAGACACATTTTGAGAGGCCACGTTCTAAGTCCCCAGATCCCTGCAGGCAAATGTTGAGTGATTGCAGTGCCCTTTACCTCAGCAGGACATATGGAGATTTCCATGCTGGGTGGTGTGAGAAAGTAACAGATTGTGAATTCAAGTTTACTTCAATGGTTTGCTTGAAAGGAGTGGTGCATGGTTCTTGCCATGTACTTCCTGACTACCGGTGAATAAGACTGTCCAGATTTTGAAGGGCCTGATCATTGCTGTGGGGGTGGCACATTTGGCTGTAAGCCCCCATTACTCACAGCACCACAGTATTTTGTCTTTTCAAACCTCTGAGGGCTTGGAGAAGATAAATCCACCTGAAGCTTCGAGAGATGATATAGGTGGGTTGTGCAACTGGAAAAAATGGCAGAATTAAATTAATCCTCTTTACTTGGGAGGATCTTTTGAGATACAATCTCTGGGGTCCCCTGGCATTCAGCAGCAACAGTGTCCAAGAGGACTTTGCTCCTTTTTGCATGGTTGCTCCTCCACCTGGAACAGTCCAGACTAGAATAAGACAATGCATGTTGTTAGGAATTGCATGTGAACACCACTCAGACACCTCAGACTGTGTGGTGTGTGACTCCTTGCTTACTCAGCCAAGCTCTTGCTGGCAATAAATTACATCTCTCCTCCATAGTCCGTTCTGGCTTTCAACTAGTTTCAGATGACACCACACTAAACTCTGGGTGCCGACAGAAGTGCAGCTCTCCGCGGTAACTGAGAACACTTTGCAGGATGTGTTCTGAGTCGCAGCGATCTCCAGGACCAAACAGAAGTTCACTGCTGGTTCCAGGGTGCAGGGAAATCTAGCTGCTGGGTGTAGGTTGCAGCCAGGTCCCCCCAACAAAGGCCCCTCCTTCCTGCCAGCCTGTCCCTGTTTTCAGCATGGGAGGGGGGAAAGGGAGCAGAGGGAGTTCTCTAGGGGTTCCCAAGCTGGGCCCAAACTGAACTCCATCCACTCCCTTTCCCCCTCCCATTCTGAAAACAGTTTGGAAGCTGGCAGACAGAAGTTACAGAAAACATCTGCATCTGACCCCTCATGCAATAAGGGTTACGATTTTTGCCCTACTGTCCAGTTTTGACATGGTCTGCAGCCATGCACTTGTGTTTGGTCATGGCTATAGACCATTGTCTGTGGCCAGAGGGGGGCAAAAGTTGTCACTTCTGTCTGCACCCCTCTGATCAACTGGCAGGGTAGAGAGAGAAGTGGTCTTGGCTTACCTTCATGTTGATTGTTGGTTCCCATGCAGACTTGGGGCAGTGGAAATTCCTCTGAGTCCTGTTTACTGTGTCAAAGGCAATCCTACCTTACAGTTTCCTACAAAGCCTGAGGTTTGTAAGAAGGTTCAGGAGAGAATTTCAGCCATAACTATGATGCTTAGCCTCCCATGCAGTTGCACAGGGGGAGATGAGGCCCAAGGAGTTCAGAGACTGGACATAAGGACAAACCTTCTGTGCTCTCTTTTGAGCATTGCAAGGCTACTAACACTGGGAGCTAGACAACTAGGAAACAAGTGGTAAGGTGGATTCTGGACTTTGGAAAAGATTGGATGGCGACATCTCCCATGACAGCTCAAGAAACTGGGTCCAGTCGGGTCCATGGTCACCTCCTCTACTTTCCCTGGAAGGCATAATGGATCCCTTGATTTTCTTGCTTTCATGGATTATAGTCATAGTTCAAATAATCTTTATGTATGGTCTGGGGAGGGGGATTCATAGAAGTGTTTCAGTTACCTATTATCTCAACAGGGGAGCTTAAAGATTGGCAGTTGTGTGCCTCTAAGCAGGAAATAGATAGGGCTGTTTCATTTGCAAAGAGTATTCTGGATGAAACCATCAGATTGCTGTGAAACACTATTTCTATTTTAAGTGGATAGTGATGTTCTGTGAATAAGGCACTCTATATGGTTCAATATTTCAGTATCATTATCTAGCTAAATGAAGTAGCTATGATGCTTGCTGAGTGACAATCCATAAGGTCACTGAATATAATGGATGCCTTTTACTGCATATGATTGTTGTTAAAATCCATAAAAAATATCTATAAAACTGTTCTTTAGGTCAAGCATTACAATTACCTGAATTTCATATGGGAAAGCTACTGCTATGAACATTTAAATATAATCCCTTTTTAAAATTTTTGAACTTTGATTTTCTTTCACTTTATTGCTATGTCCTTTGTATATGGAAAGTTGTGAGTATTTGCATGCAAAGTATTAAAAGTATACTATGAAGCACAGTGAAGTTTTGGCTTGATAGGCATAGGTAATCTACTGTAAAACAGTAGACAACCTTAAAAACTAGATGGCTATCCTGTCCAACAGCCAAATTGGACTGTGGTTACTATTATGAAACCCTTTGCAAACACCTATCACTCTTGAGATTTGAGTTTATGTTTTACTCTTTATTTCTGTGGCAACTGTGGTAATTGTTGGCAACTGGTAAATTTTGCTATTAGCTATAGAATTACCTAAGGAGCTACACAGGAGAAGCCATTCTGGAAAGAAAAACTAAGTAAATCTCTACTTGTTAATGATGCCTACTAAAAACTTTCTTAAATGACATGTCCAAGTACAGTTTAGGGTTAATTGTCAGATAAGATAACTATGTAGGCCTGATTTTACTCTGCAGCTTCAGTGCTACAGTGTCAATGGTGATCCAGTGAAAGCAATATGTACCAAATTCAAACGAGGTGCAAGTGGGAGCAAATTGTGTGCCTGCTTGTGGGAATTTGTATTTCTCTTTGTTTACAAGGACTTAAGGTCCAGGGCTTTTTGACACTAGTCCAGACTTGTCAGATGCCTTCCTGAAGTCTAAGTATACCACATCCACCCCTCCTCCTGTGTCCAGGCGTTTTGTAACCTGGTCATAAAAAGAGACTAGATTGGTCA